ACCAACAAAGTCACTTAGAAACAAGCTTTGTAGGTCAAAAGATCCTATCGATGCATTTAAGCAAAATAATCTGGTTTACCAGATCCCTTGAAATGATTGCGAGGTCAAGTGCGTTTGTCAAAGCAGTCGAGCAGGGTCGATTAGAATAACAGAGCACAAAAACTTAGCTAAATCAAGATTAGTAGATCCTAATAAAATAAGAAATCTAGAGGAAAACTTGGCTATAGCTCTGCACACAATTACACATAATCCGTCACACAGTAGGGTGTGACGGGGCGACAGTGTTGAAAACTAAGTTAGTTGGGTGGAGGGATTGATTGATAACCGAATCTTTGTTTATCGAATCAACACCAAATACATGCAGTAATAGGAATGATTGTGCACCAGTCCCAGATATATGGGAAATTCTACTACCCTTGTCATCACAGAGAAAGAGAGAAAAACTAGGAATATATAAAGACTGTCTCGAAGTTGTGGAGTTACCTGATATGAATATGGACAATAAATTGTGTCCGAAACGTTATCCAGTAAATGCTACTGTTTAATTGTGTGATATTTCTAATAAACAGACTAAAATGGAATTACACTCGACCACAGTGCCCAAGTTTTACACTTATATTAATGCAACCAGTTTTATCATCGAGAAAAGATGGAGTGACGTGTAGACCCAGCAAGTAGTCCCACCATCTTTCGTTGCTCCTCCATCAATTTTTCTAATCTCTGTGCATCCATTTTTAACACCTTCATCGCCAAGTGTTGTATATTCTGAACGCACGCTTAACTGTCAGCTAACTTTGTAAGCAACAGCCACCGACTGCAACTCGTGACGAATAGAGAAGAAGACCGAAATTACTGGATGGGAGAATTTATTCCTCCGAGAATAATAACCAAACCAGTTCATTAATTCAAAAGCACATAGTTATACACACACACAAAATATGACCTTACCTCAACATTGCGATCCCACGAAACACGAGCAATGGTTTGGAAACACTTATCATCAAAACAAATACTTGGTTTGAGAAATTTCAAAATGATTGACATCTAGCTTCACAAGAAAGAAGGGATTTTCAAACTTTGAGATTTCAATGTCTAGTAGTGAATTTATTGTAGTCTTCTGTATAAGGCTGTTGGAAAACATAAGAAAGTTTTTTAGTCGATATTCATCAACAAGGCACACCTTTATCTCAACTAAACCTTTTTTCGATAAAATCCAATAATCCACTCAGTCAGTGTCTGATGCATCGATGCTGCAGTCTAGCTATTCAATAGAAACTTAGGCATACATTTCATTGAATTGGTATTTCTTTCAAACTGTACATAACTCTGTATTTTAAGTGTGTGTTTTACCTAATTTCTTGCTAGATGAATACCGAAGAGATTATATTCGTAAAATATTCGTCATTTACGCCAATTAGAAGCGAATATGACACTTAAACGTTTGATGGAACAGTCCGGGGGATCAATCACTTCAACAGATCGTACACAGTATAATACTACATGTACGAAACTTGCATCATCAGGTCATCATTTACCAGCTAGACAACCGTCTACGTCAATGAAAACGCAGATCTCAGAGGTAATAGTAATGCAAACATTAGTTCATTCTTCCTGATTAGCTTTCTGTTAGCCTTACAGTAATGTGTTTTAATTGTAATTTCTTGGTTAGTTAATTGTACTACTTCAAAATCTGATGTTTTCAGTACCAAGCTTCGGTGATTTTGGAATAGATCAATGACCAATACTGTCCAATTTTCAATAGCCAGTTGATTAACATTGGTTTATACTGGATGAGAAAAAAGAAAAACAGCTTACGCTTATGTGATTCAAATATAGGGATAAAAATGTTTTGTTTTTATCACACTGCATGTGTACCAATAGAATAAATCACAGTTTCATCTCTGATAAGACAGCCTAGTCTAGTAGTAATGAGCTTAATGTTTAACACCGAAAGTTTGTAAGTTTATTAATCACTCTGTTGGGACATTCAGGCAAGATCGAGGCATTCGCATAGAAACTCATATGCCAACCTTGGTAGGTCAATTTGATGCAGCATAACAACGGAGAATTACAAGTATCAACAAATAATAATAACTAATATCCGTTGTACAAGAGATGGGTATCGTGCCTCAGTGGCCTAGTGGATAACGCTTTGGCGTTTGAAGGGATGGTTACGGGGTTCCAGTCTCAGTGGGAACAAAACCACTAAATGGAGTGCAGGTACATCCAATTGGCGAGTCCTAAGTAGGACGAAACGTGCCTCCTGAGTTCCACTGACAGCCACAGCTAAGTTCTATCAATCACTCTTATCTAGGAAGCTGAAGAAGAAAAAGTATTTAAAAGCTATATCTACAATAAAATTATCGTCCAACAAATCTCAGGAAAACTGATTGTCCGTGCATTATACCAAATTAAAGTTTCCATAAGCTGTACAATAAAAACATCATTTCTTCACTTATATTGCTTTATGCATATTGGGAATTAAATCTTTTAAAAATATCTTACACCAATTCAAAGAGTCACTATCTGTTAGTCTGAGCCATGTAGACAGATGTAATATAATAGTAATGGTAATAATAACAATGATAATACTGGTAATAATAATAATAAAGGGTTTTATTCTGACCGATACTTCGATAATACTGCACAGAACTCTCTGCATGTCTTATAGCATCAATTGGACAGAAACAATTTATATTATATACATAGTAAAATAAAGTAAATTGAAATTATATCTGCAAAAGATAATATTTACTCCAGCTACAAATTTTCTTAAAATACAGAGTTAACTTAGGTAAACAATGACACTAGCAATCAGATTCATAATGCATAAATAATAGCAATCTGTGTAGTCTTTAATTAGTTTGCTTTCAGGAACAAAAGTTGATTAGTTAACCAATCTCTAACACTTTCTTCCTCGTACAGGAGACGAGCTAAACACGGTATTGTAGAGTTTTTGCATTTAGTAGAACGTGCATAAAGTTTTATATACTTATTCCTGGTCTTACCTGAGGACCGATACGCAGAGAGCTTTGAGTGAAGAAGATGCTGATCATATGATAAAATAACTCCTGCCAGATATTTACATGAGTTATGATGTTTGTCCGCAACAGTTTCAAGTGGAAGGCTTAAAGGTACACCATTGGTTCTGCTGAGAATCTTCAGAGTTCTACTCAATGTGTGGTTGGCGTCTTCAAGATGATATAAAACAACAGTTGAAGACTCTAAGTGATTTGGCTCAAAATTGGACACAGTGGCACAGATGTATACATTCCTTATCATCTTTGGAATTCTGAACACTTTCGGTAACCTTCATTTATTTATTTTCCATCCCCTCATATACTCTTGTCAGTTTTAATGACATTCTTTTTCTCTCTTCCTGTAAACTGAAGTGATGAGCTACGTTGGTTCTTTTAGGGGAAATTTATGTCGTCTGCTTGTCACATTTTGAGTTAGCAGAGTGACATTTGAACTCATAGGACCCTGTGAAAATTGATCACCAAATAGTATGAATTATGGGAAAGTTTTTACAAAAACGGACTTCCTTTAGTGATAGAAATGCTTTTATTTGGCAAGCAGAAGTGTAACCTATTTTTTTAAATCAATCTTCAAAAGTTTATCAGCCAAGTTAAAGTACAGTTTGATTTCCGTAGGACTGAAAAATTCTCAACGTCCTTGAACGAAACTTAAGATGACCTTCATCCACTAACTAATGAAAAGCATCCATATATGACGTGTGGTAACTTGGTCCGTTAGCCAATTATGCCAGGTCTCTTGTTCATATTTGCGAAGCTTTCTTTATTTCTCTTTTGTTGTCAAAGGTTATATTGACTGATGACGCAAATTCAAGAATTGCATATGTCAAGTTAGTCTGCAAGATATCACCGCACTAAATTTTCGAGTCACTAAGCTTTTTTAATCCAAAGTAGTTCATCATAATTTCAAGTTGGTATTCATCACAGATTGCCATCAATTAGAGGACCACTGAAAACGTAGGAGCACTGGATAGCTGTTTCGTCCTAACATGGGACTTTTCAGCAGTGCACATCCACGATGCCGCCAGGGATCGAACCTAAGGCCCACAGGTTTTGCGACGAACACGTTACCATTGAGCTGGCTGGTCGAAATCCAATGGTCCACATCTTACTTCTGTGAGTTCACAAAATAATCCGTGTAGAATGCCAATAAATCCCCACAAACCGCCAAAGTGAGTAACTCTCCGGTGCTTATTAGTGACAATAATGCTTCGAGATAAAATTTCCCGGAGTTTTAATGACAAGTCTTAACTGACGGGGCAAACCAAGTGAGGATAGATACTGAGTGATCGCATTGGGTTAAGTCGTGCTGTATCGCGAATTGACGGAAGTAGGGAAATTTGGAGCATTGGAATCCGACCCACTCGCTCAATGGTAAAGTGAGTTTCAATAAACACTATCTAACAATTTAGCCAATGATATAATTTATCAGGTGAAAAAAACTTACAAAAGATCTCGTTTTAAATCGATTTATTTTCTTGAATTTGTTATTACTATCTACGCAGATAGAAGTGCAGTCTTGACAACAGGGGAAGATTGTATGAGTTACTGTCTAAAAACCAGGTAACCTAGGTACGACCTAGGTTACGTCTAAACAATAAACAATTTACTGTATTGCATCATAAAATAACTCTTGATCTTCTGTGTTAAAATTTAAAATCTCTGTTTTTGTTGACTTTATCTCTAAAGCCTAAATTCAATACTTCAAAACAATCATCGAATGAACAATATGATCAAAATGATTCAGGTAAACAAATTGAACGTTGTAATAATGGTAACGCAAGATCCACTTCATTTGTAACTAAACCAAGCCAAACAGATGACAGTAATGCAAAAGATGAATTCATTGATGCTGAAAAACATAAGGTATCATCTCCAAATTGTCAACCATCTATGCCTTCAAATTATGCTTCAACAACTACCCAAATTGACACACTTGTTAATCGCTTAACACAAACTATTCCAATGCTTGTTGCCAATTCAGAGAATTCATCTATAAATCATAGAACACAGTGTCATGAAGATCAACGGTTCGCAACAAATACATCTGATAAAAAGCATCGAACAGTAGTTACATCGACAATGCCACCAGTTAAATCTGTCAACAGAACAGACTACTTACGTGCGCATACACGGGATGTTGAAGATGGAGTCGATTTAAAAATATTAGGTAATAAACCTATCTCCTCGATGCAGAAACATTTAAATTCAGCTAAGATATCTGTACCTAAGGCAGAATCAGCAAAAAATGTAAGTTGAACATGCAATTTTTTGTTTTCTTGCCTGTTATATCTGTTGTCAGTGATGTAAGACGATTAACCAGAGATCACAAATGGGGTTATATGTATATGTTTCACATATTAATGTAAATACTTATGAAAATGTGTATTTTGAGGTAAAGATAACAAGTAGTGTCAGTTGTCATCATTCTGTGACTCAGGCATACATGTTCAGTTGGACGTTAGCCTTACTTATCTGCAACTTCTCAGGGGGGTTGATTTTCAACTTGGTAATAGTCTGGTTGACTTGAAGTACACAGACGATATATTCCTGTTGGCTGAAGATGCTGAAAACATACAAAACCTTCTAAACATCCTGAACATTAACTTAGGAATGGTTTGAAGTTCATTTCCCATCTCCTAGAATGAGATGTTGCTTCAGTACTGGTTTGTAGCGATATTTTATCTTACATTAGTTTGGTAGGGAAGTTCATGCAATGCCCTACAAATATTCAGCTTTATTAGGCATACTAGCGAGATCGTGATGATGATTAGCAAGACCATCACTGAAAAAGATGGGACCCTGATAACCTCTCAGGAGTGATGGCCAACACGTCGGATGGAACACGCAGAAGCGCAGTTCGACTGACCCAAAGCGCTTCAGTTGCCCAACATCCAGTCTGAACGTGAATATCACGTAGATGTCGCTCTTCCATCTCTTCTTAAAGTCAGGAGGGCTATATCAAACCTGAAACAGTGAAAAAGAAGCAGGACCTGACAGTTTGCCATCTAAAGTTTCCAAGGATAGAGGTAGGAAATTACTGATTTAAGTGACGGAGGTACTAGGTATTGTTTGGGAATCAGAGGTAGTGCCGTCAAATTGATTTACTTCCTTGATCATCTCAGTCTATAAGAAGGGAGAGATGTCTTTCTGTGACAACTATAGGGGATCGAGTTTGGCTCACACCATGTCCAAGATCCTGGGGTCCATGGTTATCTGATGCCTAACTAAAGCTTGGGAACAGCAAAGTCGAGAAAATCAGGCAGGTTTCAGATCTGGAAGAGGGTATATCGATCATATTTTCATCCTCCAACAGGTTCTGGAACACAGCCATACATACTGGTCAGCAGCCAACACTTGCCATATTTCTTGGTCTGAATGTGGTGTGTTGACTCTGTCGACTGTGAGGTGTTGTGGCAGTGTCTGACTGAAGGGAGTGCCGAGAAAGTATATAACGCTAGTCAAAGATTTCTGTTTGACCTCACGCAGCCATGTAAGGTTTTATGGAAAGTAGTCATGTGAATTAACAACAGCTAGTGGTGTCCGCCAGGGCTGCCCACTATCACCGTTCCTATTTATTTTCGTAATAGACATATTTATGGGCATAAACTTAAGTACGTGTAACTTCACAGGGACTGATCAACTCCACGAAGGTCATCTGGTTGGCTTCGAGTAGGCAGACGATATTGTCCTGCCGGATGAAGACGCTGACACAATGCAGGGTCTTCTGAACTCTTTGAGCAGAAATCTGTGTAAGTTAGGCATATGCTTCGCACCTGTCAAATAAAAGATGATGCTACGCTACTCGTCTACTCCAAGCATTCCCAGTTTAATGATAGGAACTGAAGTGATGAAGTGTGTCACTTCACCTTGGGGCTTGCATGAGGCCAAACGGGTTGGGTGCTAACGAAATCTCAGCTCAGATACAAATTCCCTGTTTAAAGTGTACCAAGTGGCGTCATCTGTGGCGCTGGCGAGGTATCTGAATACCTGTTAAAGGATGGGTATACTGCGCTGGATTTCATTCTGTCCTGTTATACGGTTTTGAGATATGACCATTAAAAGTAGATATTAAGCTGTTATAGGTTTTTAATCATGTGTTTTCGTAGCATGGCCCGTGTATATTGAAATCATCATGTAAACAATGTTAAGGTTGGACGAAGGGTATTAGGGAGAGATTGAAAATTGATCATTGAGGTTGTGACTCTTACCCGACTGAGGTAACATGAGTTGAGCGTGCAAAGTTACCACCTCTTTTGAAATTCAGTGCTAGGGGAAGTTGGGTTAGATTGAAAGAGAAGGCTCAAAGTGGCCAGTCTGAGATTTGACATCAGTTCACGTAGTTAGTCGAGGCCGTGTCGGGACGTGTAGACTACCTTGGTTGGAGTCCATGAGACCACAGAAATCAATGACTAGAGACCCTCGGTTTAGTGGCGGAATATCGGTGATAACGGTGCTGACTTATCAACTCTATGACGTCTTCTGAAGGTTGAACATTTCCACTGACCTTCAGTTTCAAAATGTTTCCTCTCCTATACACCTTTATTTACTTTGATATAAGTATTTTTCTGTCCACGTGTTGTTTACATGTTACTGTGCTACTGTGAATTGTGACAGTTTGAAGTGACGAACTTGTGTGCAAGTTTCTACGCTGATATCTTTTGTCGACCTATCTGTCTTTCAGTGCGTTAGTTTTCTCACTTAAAATGTTACATCGATCATAATATTCTAGTTGTTCATGAAATCTCAGATGAGATACTGAATGTCTGTTTTATGTTTGAGAACTAACACCATCTTTGCTATCAACAAGCTTTTTGACTGCAAATCAAAGAACGAACGGAAACCACAGTGGTCCTTTCTTTCCTACTGTACAGCTGTGAAACTTGATCATTCGAAGTAGAATAACTCGAGTAGGCTAGAGGTATTTTGTTATCGAACATAACAAAACCATCATGTAAACGATATTAAACCTAGGTAAAGATCACTAAGCAAGGAAGGCAAATCAGTTAGTGAGATTGTTTACCATTCTGTGAAGTGTTTCAGCTGAATTTTAGAAAACATATCAGATGTATGAGTGTGGTTTCTGACTATTTAACCAATGATCCGTATTGACGGTACTTCGTAGTCATGTATTCATGGAAATACTCTATGGCAGTTAAAAATTCGATTTATTTAATTTCTGACATATGACTTACCTTAATCGTCGGATAGTGAGGAAAGTCGATCCTATGGAAAGATAAAAATGATACACAGTTTCGACTGCACATAGTTCACTTTCAGTGTTTCATATATATATCTGTAATTCACCAGATTGATTGAGTGTATGGCCTCATATATTACTTGGCTGCTAATAGTTGTAGACTTCCCTTAAGAAAGCGTGAAGGTGAGTTTCGATTCGGTTAGTACTCATCATCTGAATATAACTGAGATTTCGTAGATTTACACGTAAGTCTTTCAGTCGTATAAGATATTCAACGCCGAAATTGTGATCTGAGAGTATTCATTGTAGGTTGCCAGATAAATTGACTAATAGGTTAATTGACAAGAAAGGTAATCTGATTGCGAAAAGAACATGACATGCAACATGTTAGGAAACATTACTATTTTCCAAAAATTCTATCCGTAAAAGCTAAAAGAGACAGTAGTTTAAATCACATTGTCATAGGAGATTTGAGTGTCGACAAAATTGTAAATCGGACTCCGTAAACTCGCTTCTTGTATGGCCGATCCACGTGGTCACCTCAAGAAATCCTACATATGTAAACTCACAATTTTTCGCTTCGTTCATCATTAATTTAGATATACCTTAAATGCGTTCAGTTTTTCTCTACTTTGTCTTCGTACTTACTAATGGGAGGGTTGGGAATCATATGTATGAGATTCTGAGATTCGTTCTTGTATATCCTTCCCAGTGTAGCATATCATATCGAATCATGCATTTATACGTGCATCTTATCACTAACTTCGATATTTACGGTAACTAACTATGTTGATGGAAATCGAGATTCATCCGGCAAACATAAGCACATTAATGCAGTAGGCAGTCAGTCACACATATTGTGTGAAAGTTACTGATACTACTTAGATTCCCAAAGCTCTTTAGGTGACATGGGGTTCAAACCTATGACCCATCGGTTGAAAGTGCCTAAACTAGTGAGCTACAGCTTTACACCAGCTATACTTTACTAAACATATACTCAAAAGTTCAAAAATCAAGTATAAACTTTACTTCTCTATATTTTTTGTAATAAATTTTGAAGTAGGCATATTAAGTAATTAATATTCTCGTGAAGAATTTTCAATACAAGTGAATATTCGTTTAATAATCATATAAATCTTTAAACGATGAACAGTTTTCATCCAACAATTCTCTCTGTATTATAAATGTTATTCTGATTAGTTCGATCGATAAGGTATTGCTATCACTGAAGCTTCAGTGTCATAGAATTGATTCGAATCTCAGAAAGGTCATCATGATAATGTTTAAATTCTCTAAAAAGTACACATATAATCTCATCTCAACAACTCAATCAGGATGCATCAGCAGAATAAGATGAAATTGTTTTGTTTCATAGAGTTTTCATTAGTTGCAACTTAAATAAATAGGTGAGTGATCATTTCAATAAATTTTAAAAATCTTTTTATCAAGTGTTGGAATACTAGTTAGTGTTTTGAAGATCAGAAAAAGTAGATCAATTCATAATAAAAAGGAAGTTAAAATAATGAAATTCAGTTAGGGTTAGGGATACGTTGTATAAGGTAAAGCAAATTAGAGAGAATGAGAGTTAAAATCACATATAGGGCAAACAGTTACGAAATCATTTTTAAAAAAAACTTATTGAAAAAAAGTACTAATTGGATAAGATGTGTACGATCGTGGTAAAAATAAGTGCCATAGCAATTAATTAATAGTTAAAATGGGTGTTATTTAAAATAAGCACAAAATAAGGGTATTAAGATCTTGGCATGGGAATAACTTGAGTAATTTGAAGTGGATGTGGACTCCTATATCTATTCACAGTCGTGAAGGCTTCCGATGTGCCAACTTTGTGCCCTATGTCGGCAAAGTGACGTACTACTGCACTCCTAATCGTTACTGAACCTCTAAAGTGTAAAATCTTGGGTACATCTTCAACAATCTTGGTAGAAAACTATCTCCACGTTCTTCTGATTTATTTATGTATGTATGTAGATGTGAATCAATGGATGCAGTTACAGTTAACGGGAGTTGGAAACTAGTCTTATTTGAACTGTATAATTGAACATACCATCACAATACAGCGAAGCAATTTCTGTAGCTTGATAACTCCTATATACTGGGTTTTTCATTTGCCTGTTGATTCTCTCCGCAGCATCATCATCTTTCGATAGTAGTCTAAAGAACATCAGCTTCATTTCAACAGTGATATACTCCTCTCTTTTTCTTACCTTTGTGGTACTTCTAGATACATTTTATCAGGTACCTGTTAGTGGCAGAATATTTTTGAGTCAGCTTAAGTTCTACTTCTAGCCCCTTTTCGGAGTACAGTTTTTCTTATCTCAAAAACAGTATCCTCACTAAACCTCTCTTGCTGCCTATAGTAATAAAGATTCTGTCATTACTTCTATTGTATCATTCTGCTTGTGTTTCGAAGCGAAACCAAACTCACTCAACAACCTTGTGCACATCTGTACAGTCGACAACGAACCACAACTATTGTATGACAGCTAGTGATACTACCTGGCCGATCAAATCCCAGTAAGTAGAGCTGCATTCTAACCCGTGATTATTCACCAGTTAATAGTAATCTCCCTAAACCACTCAGCCACGACTCTGCGTTTGTGTTTCACGCATACGTTAAGAAAATTAAGTTGATATTCCTATTCATGTTAAAGTGTGCATTGAATATTGAAATTGTTTATTTATTCTATGTTACCTCTTTTTCTTCTGTCTATTAGGTTGAATTCATTAGACGTGATATAAATTTTGTCCGAGCTAATGCACACCTAGCATCAGTACCAAGTATAAAAAGCACTGCTGGTATTCGTCGGGTAGCAAGTATGAATTCTTTATCAGCATCATCATCATCATCACTGATCAATGATAAAACTTATCATAATGTTTGTTTGAATGATACAAAAATGTCTAAATCACAAATTTCGCATACTTCAAGAATGTGGCCTGAAAGACGTTTGAAAAATGGTACTATTCCACCTTAGTAAGTTGAAAACCATTTGATGACTTACTTTATGTCAACAAAGAAATATTCTAGATTATTAAGCGTTTTGTGTTTAAGAATATATGAGGGTACATACTAATCCCATTAGTCACTTCAAAATATATCATCTAGAACTGTCTAAATAACTTCACGGTTAAGTTTCAAATGATTTTCTTTAGCATTTCAGATGCGCTTGGAGTTGTGGTTGGTTATTCTAGGCGCTCGACTTTCAATTGATGAGTAACCGGCTTGAATTCCACTCAATCCACCAAGATTTGAGCTGTCAGATCAGTCATTGTCATTAGCTCGCCCACTAGAGATACGATTCATTGTCTAGTCTACAATCATGTACATAGTTGTTGAGTTACTATACACTACTAGTTCAGATTGAGAGGGAGTAGATTGACACACAGACACAAAAAAGTGATCTGAATCAAATTGTTGTACTTCACAGAAAGAGAAAACCAGTCGAGATGAAAAGATATTGAAAAAAAAACAATATTTACGGATAGATAGTTGATCAGTGAAAGTCAGTAATTTGAAAAAGTTCCCGTTATGAATTTTGATAGTGTAACTGAAAAACCTAGTTTTTCAGGAGAATAGAAGTTATTTGCACCATGCATTTCGATCGAACTGATTACAATTGTTAAGACATTTTACCCCAAAAATAGAAATAGAAAGAGATCAAATAAAACGTACATGACAATATCATATGTAAGAACAAAAAGAGCTAATGAGATCAAGACAATTTTAAAGCCAACTGTAGTAATAAGTAGGACAAGATAAATGTTACCGGGGTAGGCTAGTTGTGCAAGGATACGGGAAGGCAGAGATGAAGAAAAGAATATTTGTTGCTAACGGGTGATACCGCAGTCGTTAAATATGGTACACCTTTCGCTTAGACAGTCATTTGCAAGATGTGCTTCATTTCCTCTCCTGCTTCTCTCTTGATTTCCTCTTAATACGCCTGCGTTGTCTCTTGGCAGAATCCTTACTCATTGCTGGTAATTCCCTGATTTCTGCCTCCCTCTCAACATATACTACATATATCCATTCTTATCAGTAACTCCCACTACAGTCGTAAGGACGAATTGTTTTGGATCAAAAAAAGGGACTTAGATTTGTATTTGGCTAGCCCTTCAGCAAATCTAAGTATACGTTTCTGATGATTTTTATACAGAATTGCATAAGCTGTTTCGGAATCGATTCTGTATCTCTTGACAATGTTATGTTTCGTAATGGATGAAAGTGGATATGTACCACGTAGTAGTATCTGTTTTTTAAAATCCAGCTGCTTTTGTAGTCATTTAGGTGTAGGTTGCATTACCCTCAAATGCATATCTGGATTAGTCTTCCATGCGGAATTACTTTCACTTACTCAGTAGTGGCATGCTTCAAGGTGAGATTTCCTGAAGTTCCACGCATGCGTGAGTTAGAGTAGACAGCAGTAATTATCATTACATACTTGCTCGGTACCCCCTTCAGAATCGTGCACTGTCACAACACGCCTCAGTCGACGGGCCACCTCTGCTTTTAAGAATGGCAAGCACCAGCTGTCGGTAAGTATGCATGTGTTCTAAAACTTGTCGAAGGGTGGAGATCTGGTTGATCCACTATCGCTGAGGTCTGAAACCTACTTAACTGTCTCGAGTTTGCTGTTTCCCAGCTGCACTTAGGCACCAGATAACTGTGTACCCTAGGATGTTAGTTAAACTGACCCCTTGACGATTGCCACAAGAAGGCTACTCTTACTTAGCACACACTGGAAAAACTGATGGTCTAGACCGGTCGGAAGAGAACACCTCTGATTCCCATACGCTACCGAGTACCTTCGTTACCCTACTCCGCGATCATCCACCTTCTTCCTTAAACAATCCTGTTGGTAAATCATCAGGTCCTACCCCTTCGCTTAGTTATAGGCTTGAAATAGCCTTTTCAAGTTTGAGGTTCAGGTTCGGACTGGATGCTGGATATCTGAAGCATCATCTTAGGTCAGGTGAACTGTCTTCCGAAACAAAACGCCTGTTCTTAGAGGTTATCAAGGACCCATCTTTTCCAGTGTTGGTCTCAGCAGCCATCATCGCGAATAAACTTAAAAACTCACCGATTACTACCCAATGTTGATGACGTCTCCATCTCCTTCGCTACTGCTACCCACCTCTACCACACATCATTGTGAAGACTGTTAGTCACTTTGCATTTGAGCTGCTTCCACTACTTATTGTGGTTAGAGCCGGCTGGAATGTCTCCTCACATTAATCAGTTTTGATGAGTTAGCGGGAATCCATTGACTTTTGCTAAACTTCGGAGGTAGGTTCCCAACTGTCTGTGCCGCAGACTAAATATCACACCAGGCTTCTTCAAGATGATAACTGCCGCCACTTTCAGATAATTGTTTTGCTACCTCCTCCCTAGATAAGCACTTGACCTTTCTATTCTCGAATAGGGTGTACATAAGGTTCACTGCCGCTTGTAACTATTACGGTGCAAACATACACTTACTATCTCGCTATAGTTTATTACTGAAAAGACAGATCATTGTCGTGCAACAGCTCTTAAATCTACATCTGATCTCTCTTTCTTTGGTTACTCTGTCCATATCTTGTTTCTCATTGACTTAAGTACGCAATAAATTGTTCCATACCCATGTTTCTTTTTCTTTCTCATGGGCAGATTCACAATGAAACCGCTGCATACTCATTAATTCGACGGTTCACCTCAAATTTATGGCTCGAGTTGGGATTGTTCCTAGAAATGTTGGCATTACATGCTGTTTGTATCCAAATATGCAGGCTCTCCGACTAACAGCACCCACTCACCTCATAGAGAAGAGAACCGAAACTGACTTCATGTGAAGCGCCAACCTTGAAGACATATTGAATGGTTTAATGATGAGGCCTTACGCTTCGTGGGCTACAAAATGAAAACAGTTTCAGGACAGATTCATAACTTTAACTTAATTTATCCCTTTGAATTTGTTTCCAGTGGCACTGAACCAAACAGTCACTACATGCTGCATGATACCGAGTGCCACTGGTTTCAAGCTGTCATCGACCCATACCATGATTTGAATCTAGTTTTAAGTACCCTCTATGAACAGCAATAACTTATTGGTTATTCGCACCTTTTTAAGCCCTACTATTGTTCGGCGTTTGATATCCTATGTACGTTTACTGATTATGCGACTCATTAATTGAAGTGTAGAGGCCTAATCACGGGTGCCTGCTTAAAGCTGATACTGGGTGATAAAGCCTGTGTTATTATTCACTACTGTTATGTAGCAAAAGGGTTGGTATCTAATATTTTTAGCCAGCAACAGCTGAATAACTGCATACTGGCAGACTATATATGGTGTACCAATGTATCCTTTCTTACTTTTCTCAGACTCATAAACAACAATAACGTTCGGATGTTGTCTGTACAAACGACACGCGTTCGCATAATTTATTATTCGAAATATATTGTTAAAAATTAAAATACTGGTAGCAATGACAATAGTAATTTAATCTACATATTCATTGTTAGTTTGGTGTTGGCAGACGTCATGTGAAATAGCATCTCTTCTTATGTCTGAACTTGGTGCTAACTAAAAACATTCAGTAGTCACTACAAAACTATAAGGGGACAGTCACTACTGTCGGTTCTTTGGTGTGGTATATCATTGATATCTTCAAGATACCACTCCGATTGACTCAATCTTCCTATGTTAAAGTCACCTAGTAGTATGAATATATATGGGCATTTCGGGTTACGTAGAGAAATTGCCTATTTTTATAGAATTCATCTTTTGCATCATCTGGACTAAATTCTGCGATCGGAAATTACCGGTAGGTATCGATGAGTGTCATGATCCTTCACAGTTGCTACGTATCCATTCATTGAGAAAGCAGCATACAGCTATTGAGTGGCATGCAGTGGAGAATTGCGCTGTCTGCTCGACAACTTAATGTTATATGCATACCATAAGAAATTGTGATAAAATCTTCGGATACTTGTCAAGTGAGTTTGCACATTCACTACATTGGTCAAGTGAGGTCAAGTTAACAACTAAACTTGGGTCCTTCCCATTCCCATAGGGAAGGCAGCATGAGGATAGTACTATTATTCATCCGCGGAAAGTACGCTAATGTTGTCACATTCCATCCAACCAGCCAGCATGACGTCTCCCTCGAACCTCCAATCATAAAGTAGCTATTTATATTATAACGGTAACTGTTTTCTCACTTATCATTATTTACCAGACATTTCTCGCATGATATAATACTAAGGAACAAACGTGCAATTCAGCGTAGCTCGTTCGGTCATTGCGAAACACAAGTGCAACCACCACGTAAATGTAAAAGCTGTCGGTTGGGTCGTTTTACTTGCGTGAAGTAGAAGTTAGATTATTGTTAGTATCCACTGTACTCAATATACACTGATTAAATGTCGGCAACAGATAATCAGTATATCTATCGAATCCTATATCCTCAAGATGAACGAAATTTATGAATAAGTTTTATGAGACATATTAGCTTAAAGGCATAAAATTCACTGACGAAACATTTTTAGGTGGTTAGAGACACTTGACATAAAGTCAAACTTGATCTAGGCTTAGTGGTTGTTGGTACTCATCACTAAGGGGTATCTCTAACTTTGAAAAAAATATCTTTACCGTAGAGATCAAAACCTGCGTAATCCAGTGTTGCGGATAGAGATAATAACCGTATTATTATTGATGCCACCTGAAGTCCTGTAGGAAATTAACCATAGCTTGAATAAATCCATGATAACGCCTGTGAACGAAGTACTAGATGAAGTGGCTTTGCATCCCTGAAGGGATGACAATTTCTTCAAAACTGCTGACTGAGTGACTCGTACACAAGTGTATCGGCTCAAATTACCGCACTCCACAGTAGTGTATAAGGAAAGGTGGATAGAAAAACAACGATATCAAAGTAGACAAAGTAATGTGATAGGAAAAACAGTCTGAAGATAACAGTTAGTACAAATATTCACGCTTTAGAAGATATCAGGCAGTCAATACATCTGCACCGTTGTGACTTATATTCAGCCACGTCACCAAGACACCTCAACCATTGATTCCTACCGTCTCAAGGACCCCAGCCAGACAGTCCATATCTTCAAACACAACTCAGTTCAACAATAAGAGACTTCATGGACTGGTGCCAGGTCTTGGTCTGAACACTTTGAAACCTTTTTCAACCTAATTCAGCTTCTCTCCATCATCGCACGTCGAGGTGGGCGGTGGCTCGGGATTCGCAGCACAGATCCAAACCATCGCAGTTGACTAAGGTTCAAAAAGTCGCCAGTCGACATACCTTGTACTCTTCACCTGACGTCAACATTGGTCACACATTGCATTTCGCCGAACGCGAGCAGTACCACGAAGGTACTTGTGATCAAAACCTTGTAACCGCTTCATTTCTTCTACTTTTAACTGCCATATCTGACACCCGCATAACAAGACAGAACAAAATACACTGTAGTGTACTCGTCCTCTGATAAAGTAAGATATCTTACCAGTTGGGGCCCTGAATGACTCATGTTGGTAAGTGTCAAACGGGCCTTCTGTATCCGAGCTGAGATACCGTCAGCAACCAGCCCGTTCGAGGTGATACAACTTCTCAAGTAAGTGAAATGGTCAACATATTCCACTACTCCGTGCAACCCCAAGACTGCAGTTATGCTTTACATGCGAACAGACATGAAAGCTAGGTCAAGGAAAGCTACTCTCCGATTACTTCAACCACACAACGTCAACCAGAGTGTAACCTAGCATTCAGTCTCCTGATTTGGTGACGAAACTAAAGAGCTGAGTGGTAGAATTCTTTCAACATTTAACACCACGAATGTGAGAACGTTCACCTTCCAGTGATAAACCAATGTGAAGGAATCATATTAGATACCCATTTTTGCTGGTTCTGACTATCAGAACTATCTAGAATAGTGGGTGATTACTGACTCAGTGCTCAAGTTTTTTTGAGAGTATCCTGTCTTTTAGAGGCCTGCGCACCTTCAGGTTGATCTTTATTTACAAAGCATTGAAACAAATAATACAAGCATCGTTTATCAAGAATGATAATTATCTACTCATTCTAAATGGTTAATACTTTCAAAATATTATTAGAATAAATCAAAGAGAAAAGTACATACTACTCATTTACTACTTATGTGAGTTACGTAATACCGATTAGTTTTATTGGTTACAATGAAACATTGAATTGAAGAAATAAATAAATAAATGCTCTACTTTCTTGGTATTTTTCAAACTAAAATATCAAGAAGTTAGAAATTGAGTAAATAATTAAGCGAAAGGAATTTTTATTTTCGAAACAAGTGAAGCATGAAAATAAAAAATGTATTCAACACGAATTCATAAGTAATTTGTAAAACTTATATAATGTGAAGACTAGAAAGAAGAGACATTAAATAAGTGTTATGTGTATGTACAACAAAAAAAGTCTGTACGAATACACGATTATTCTCCTCTCTATAAGCAAAATGAAACAAATTTAAGTGGTGAACTAAAGCAACTAATTAGTTGGATGGCATGTCTATGTATCAGTTGCATTAGTAAGTGGAGAAACGAGGTATGTTAACATTGTTACGATATAATGCTTGATTTCCAATAACTAATGGTGAAGTATAACCAGATACAGGTAGGTTAAGACCAGAAGCAGATGGTATCATTGGCCAAAAATTGGACAAACAACTAGCAGGACTAGTCCCAGGCATAGTATTGACTGACACAGTTGTTTGTTGTGCTGGAACACCGTTAAATAAATCTGTAAGTAATCCTGTTCCACTTAGATATGAAGTGGGATTATATGAAAGTGATACTAGAGGATTAAGGCCAAACGTAAGCGGATTGAAAGATGATGCTGTAACACCAGAACTGACTATATTATTCGAATCTTGGTTAGCTATCCCGTGTGTTACAAGAACACTATTCTTAGCAGTATTCATGATAGATTGATTTTGCCTGTTAAAACAAAAGAATTTCAATAGATAGAATAGATATTTTGGTTGAAAAAGAAATATAATTCTTTAACTTTCTACTTTCTGAAACAAAAATACTGTTTTCTTTACCAACTCATATCTATCTAACATCCACCAGGAATTACAGTGCTGACAACAATTATTTAGTCTACATCTACGACTTCTCAAACATTCTCTCACTACTGAACATGACTTAGTTATCCAAGTCACATATACAGAGTGGCAATTGGAAACAAATCGCTGGTTAAAAGAAAATTCCAAATCAGTTAGATATATTAAAAACATACCCCTTTATTTACAATTCTATGTATGAACTGAATTTTATATGGTAAAAAATTGTTGAAACTTTGATGAATATTACTTCCAGAGTTTACTACTTCTGTTAGATGGTTGGTTGGAGGCTATCAACTAGAAGTGTTGAGTGACCTAGGTTCTGTGCTTGTTAGCACTTGTCAGTAAGGCGTATCTGCAACCCAGAGAGGGAGCTTATATATCCCCCCCTATGGATTCTTCAAGAAGTACAACAAACCCTAAAACTCTTAGGTGATAAATGCAATCTGCTTAACAAGAATTCAATTTTAAACTATTAACTATAAAATATTAATTCACGTAGAAATTCTCATTGAATTCATATATTTATTAGGTCAGCATCTATGTTAGCCCTTTATCTTTTAATGAAGATATCATTATAGCACAAGACATGTGATGCGAGATGAGGCAATGCAGGGAAACAACTCTTAAACCTAAACAACTTAATCGACTGAACTCTGTTTCAGTGAATCATTAAGAGGGATAAGTTATAAGGCAGGCAGTTGCTTTCTTTAGTCCCTATTGTAAAATTTATTGGTGGTAAGAACATGGAAAGTGTTTATGAAAGGAAATTCATCTGTCAAAGCCTTTTTCCGACATCATGAAGAGCGGTGTGTGTAATTTAGTCCATAAGCAAAGTGACTAAATATCACAGTACACCAACAAAAAGAGAATGGAATTAATGACTAATAATCTACTAACTAGTAGAGCTTTTGCAAACTTGCAAAGGATCAATATTAAACAGAATCTTTCAGTGGCAGCTACCATGAATGTAACCTTTGATTATCAATAAATTTTTGTCCACTTAGTCTACTTAGTCACTTAGACTACTTCCAATCACAACAAAGTGGTAATATGCCACCCTAAACCCAAAAACTCAGAAACTATTTAGGATAATAGATACAACGCAGTCAATTAAGTGAAATAAGCTAATCTATCAACTTTGAGAAGGCCTTCGACAGCGTCGACCGCGTTGTAATTTGCCAGGCAACTGCTTCAACACTACGGTCTCAGTGCCATAAACCTTCACCAACCTCATTCAATACCAGCTATATGTTATATGATGAGGCTACATGCGAGGTTATTCACAATGGAAAGCTCAGTGACACCTTTGAAGTGAAGACAAGAGGAATAAGATAAGGTTGCCGCCTACCATCACCGATGATATTCCTGGTTGTGATAGACTGGACTGAACTGGATCATGCAACAAACTGTGAGGAGTGAGAATAGTGGTGTACGCTGGCTAGACCGATGAGAAGACCCCAGAAGATTTGGATTTCCCCACCGAGGATGATTTAAGTCTGATGTCTTGTAGCACAAACTTGAAGATCCACAGGCGAAAAACAACAAGTTGGCAGAAGAGACGAGGCAGCAAAGAAAGACAGGACTTACTTCAGGCGAACGTAGAGAAGACAGAGGTAGTGAAGATACCCAGCCAACAACAATAACAAGCACCAATCACCATCTAAAGGAAGTTGTCTCTTACACCTACCTACCTAGGCACCATCGTCTCAACCACAGGTGGCACAGGTTCACATGACGATGTCAAAGCCCACCAAGATCGGAAAGACAGCAAGACAGGCCTTCCTTAATTAATCTGAAACCAGGTGGAGATTTACTGCATTCCACTCAGCATAAAGCATGAACAAGATCCAAATTTTCAACAATAATTCAGTCAAGTCAGTGCTTCTATGTGATGGTTGAGAGACTTGACGCGCTACGAAAAGTATTTCCAACTAACTACAGACATCCACCAACAGCTCCCTACGCTCAATACTGAAGATCAGATGAGAAGGTCAGAATAATAAGAATAAGCAAGGAGGAATTCTGGCTGGCTGACTGGCAGCGAACAAACTAACCAAGAATGTATCACCAAACAAATATGCAGAAGAAGAAAGTAGAGATGGATTGGATTGGACATAGACTGAGAAGACGGTGTGGGGACATGAGGCATTAGGTAAGGTCGTCGAGTGGAACCCAAATGGGAAAGGACGAGTTGGGCGTGCGAGAGTCAAATGTAGGAGATGGTTCGAGGAGGAGATGAAAGCTTGTGGGCAGTCGTGGATCTAGGTTGAGAAGATTGCGGAGAACAGAGCTCATTGGAGACGTGTTACTGAAGCCCTATGTTCCAGTAGGAACCCAAGGTACAAATAGTAATATTAATCTATCAAACGCCATGTGTTGGTGGGGAGATCAAGTATATAAGTCGAAGTAGCCAATCAGCGTCAGTCAAAGTAGTGGATCACAAAAATTTGATGAAACATAGAATGGTAGACTTTACTAAAGTCAGTGATTCAGGGGGAAATCCGGCTATCACTTTGCATACAGTAACGCTTTAGGGTGGAATAGGGAGACAATTTTAAAATCAATTATAGTTAGTTGAAGGGAGATTGATTAAAAAATCTGCATTCATTAAAACAACACCTAACACATATAACAAGATTCACCAAATATTACTATCATTTACCATGATTAAAATAAAATACTAAAAAACTGTTGGACTATAAAAGTGAAGTCTGAAAATCGTACGATTAATTTGACATTAGTATTAGCAATAAATTCTGCTTGAAATTGAATCCAGTAACTTATGCTGTCACTGTGTGCTGTATCGAATAAAACAATCTTATATGGAATTATACTCTACCACAGTGCCCAAGTTTTACTTTTATATTAACGGTTAAAAAAAAGCAGCTGGATTGACAAACATATTGATAAGCGTAGGTGGCAGACAATCATCATCATCATCATCATCAACTGAAAAACACATTGTTCATAAAGGTTACACAATTGACATTGATACAGGCATTATGATATTTGTAAAGAAACTGTCAAGGGCATATATTTAGGTTTGTTGAAGCGCTAATCATAAACAAGTTTAAGTTCCTTTTGTGTGTTGAAAAACAATTGATTGTTAGGCTAACTTTACCTTGGTAATGTTTCATCTTATCCGATTATCAAGTTTCACTTCAAAGCGAATCTCTTTCCTTTCGTTAATTTTCTTCTTCTTCTTCTTATTATTATTTAATTCCTATATGTTATATTTATCCTTCTATTTTCATTTTTATATGAAATAGCTTAAAAAGTATCCGATTTAATTGTTTAAAAAATATATTGCTCAAATACATGATATTTTTTTCAGATAAACTACGTCTTCTCTAGTTAAGTTGGATATGTTGAAAAGTTAAGTGAATTTCAACTGAATGATCTAATTCTGTAAGGACTGCTGATAAATCTTTAATAAGTTTGCATAGTGGACTATTAAATACACTTAGTTGGCTGGAGGCAATCAGTAGAAAGTTTTGATTGATGTAAGTTTTACGCTTGTTGGCACTCGTCAACAAGGCATATCTCAAAACTGTGAAGGAAGTGATGACGCGTGTGAGATTTGAACCCCGTTGTCATCTATTGTTGTAGTCGAAATTGCCACTACTGATCTCCTGCAGGTCAACATTCAGGACTAGATCATATAAAGTTGATAACAACTTACATTATATTATATTCGTTAGTTTTTATACTATTCCCAGTATTATTTGTTGTAGTGCGATGATTAGAGATATTAGAAATGTGTGGAATATTAATGTTAGCTGGATCCTTTAATCCATTCAAATTCGACTTTCTATCATCGGTATAAAATTGTATCTTTGATAGACAATTGGCCTTTAATAAATTATTAGTATTATCATTTAAATTTGCAGTAGATTTGTGCATTTGATAAATTTGATTCGTTAAACTATTAGGATTATTATTCCCTGTAAAATCAGATTGAATACCGCTTCCAATTAAAGATGTAAGCCATAAATTAGTTTCATTTGAATTCATATCAAAATTTGTTCCCCCTTGAATAGATGAAGCAATAGATGTTGATGGTGATGAAGAAGATGTGAAAAGATTTAAATTTTGTCCATTAGTATGATTTATTAAAGACAGGCCAAGTTGATGAGTTGGAAGATTTAAATTTGAAGTCATAAATGGAGTATTAACCGACTGTGAAAGGAGAAAATTCAAAGATGTAGGCAAACAAGTAATATTGTACAAAAAGCGAATAAATTAACCAAAATTAAAATGATCATATGATGGTGGACAGCACTTAGTAAGTGTTTATAGTTAGAAAAAACGTATGTTGTGGATTTTACTACCGACTATCACTAAGTAAACTACAACATGATGAATATTTAGTCAGTATCGAGGCTTCTGCATTGAAGCCCATCTGCTAATAGATATCGAGTAACTCGACCCAGTATAGCAGTGAAGAATTGTAAGTATCAGTAAACATCATCTGATAACTATTGCATAAGAGGTGGTTCTCGTACTCCAGTGAACTAATGGATAATCCTTTGACGTTTAAAGCAATGGGCTCTCAGTTCGGATATCAAGAGGTCTCAATACAGATGCATCCAGTTGATGAGTTAGAGATAGGACGAAACGCGTGTCCTCGATTCCGCTGCAAGCTACGGAGTAAACTACTACAATCCAAGTAAGTTATGAAACACACTCTCTATAAGTAGTAACTAAGACTTTCAGTGAAGATAAGACAAAATATAACTGAAATCAAAAAGTTTATGTAATTACTACCAGATAGTTAAGCTGTTAAAAAGGATACATTTCAGAAAGACTCTATGTCTACTTACTTGATCTGTTGAAAACTTCCTCTATCTTTTATACTTTACACTAATTCTATCCATATGTGAACGCATGTTTAATTCATGTATCAACTATTCCAATGAGTCAGTGAATGTTGACAACTCCTGCTACATGTAGTAGTATGTTTAAGTTCAACAGTATACAATCTCACTAGTAGTATTACTAAATGAATGAAATTGAAAAGGTATAAATAAACACCTACACCTGCATGATATCAGTATCTAGTGGGGATATCTTTATATTTTAGCGTAAATGTCATGCATGATGGATCTCTGATGAATAAGCATGTGCTTTACAAATTTCAATCATATTTCTGTTTACATATGTACATGTACTGTAGAGTATATCATCACTAGAAACAACAAGATAAAAACATAAATCAAGAGATAAATAAAAATAATCATTACTATCTCACTCCTCCCACATATTAAAATATGATTCTGATAAAAAATTAATTCCGAGGTGTTAGTGTGAACTTTCAGATCACAAAAAAAAAATACACAAAAAATAGCTTCAGTTTAAGCGTGAAAGTATTTTTTAGGTTATGCTTAAGCCTATTCTATTGTTATCAACCATAAACTCATTGATTAGGAGTTCATTTATTTGAAATGTACTAAATATAACATCCTTAAATAAGCTTCACTAGCCATTAACCCATTCGTGATAATAAAACTCATCACAAAAAGTGATATTGTCAACTTGCTCAAATATAGCTACTTTTCAGATGAAATAAGAAGATAGTACATAGACAGTACATCAAGTAAAAAGGCAGTGAAGTTTAAGAGGAAGATAAGAAAATTCAGTCAAAAAAAGATATAAAGTACGAAAAGAGAGAAACGAAGAATGAGAAAATGGTGAGATTCGATATAGCGTCGTTAAGATGAGGATAATGTGTGCATATATCTGCACCGGTGACTCCGGGTCTGAGCCATATCACCTAGAGTCTCCAACCACTGGTTCCTCTTGTCCTATGGACCCCAACCACCCAGTCTACATCGCTCCACATGACTCAAACCAACAGTCAAACACTTCATGCATTGATGTCATCTTTTATTCTGACCGCCTCGAGCCTTTTTCCAGCCTGAACCTACCTCAACCAAGATTGTGTGACGAGGCAATCGGTGACTAGCCATATGTAACACATATCCCAACCATCTCAGTCGACGAAGGTTCACAACCTCGTCAACTGATTTACCTATACTAGCTAAAACTCTACACCTGACTTCTATGTTACTTACTCACATGGTGACATCACGGAATAACATGAACTTTTCACTCAATTCTTATAAATAAATAATGAATTCAGGCACTGGTACTAAGGTTAAACAACTTTCGTGAAACTGATTTCTTGTACATAGTTCAATCAAGTTGATCTTCAGTCTTACTGCACTTATTATCATTTATCTCTAACTGCCTGAGAAACGGGGAGAAGTTGAGTTTACATTCTCCCTCCCAAGTGAGAAGTATTTTAAAGTTAGTGACTATGGGGGGAGTAAACATCCCAAGAACTTCAATTTAAATTATTCATTATACCGTAATTTGTTTGGTGGTGGCTAGCATTGAAGTCCGAAATCCACATTTCATCTCATCGGAGACTCGTCAGCTGCATACACCTGAAAGTATCAATAAATACTAATCTAATATCATTTACACAATAAGTGACTCTCTCACCTCAGTGGCCCAGTGGATAATGCTTTGGCATTCGAGGTAATGAGTACTTAGTTCAATTTTCAGTGAGAACACCACTACTCACTTGAGTTCAGATACATCCAGTTGACGAATCTCAAATAGAAAAACATGTCAGTCGTACACTATACAGCTAGCCTTTATCAAACAGATTACAACATAGAGAATAATCAAACAATATTGAAACATCTGTATGGCAGCCTATCTGTCAACAAAAGTTGATCAATTCAATTAAGAATCTACAACGGGAAATTATGAAGGGTAATGAGAAGACAAGTAGTCTATATTACAATCGAATCGATAAATGAACACTTTTATCTGTAAATCGAATCTTTTCATCTTGAATAACGAATTCACTAATAACAACAACAAATGAACTTTGATAGTAAATCAAGCTAGTGAAAATGTCTCAATATCAAAAACTGTGAGGTAGATTTCTTCTATTTTATTCTGTTTACCTTTAAAAATCAACTCATTCAAATAAAATGATCATGTAGTAAAATAGGCTGAAGATGTACTGCTGAATAGCAATAAGCTTATAAAATTTGTTCTGTCAAAGCTTCATAACCCTTAATTATATATATGAAAGAAGTCGAGGGAAATGATCCCGAAAACGAGAAATGAAACAATTTTCAGTGGTCCTAGGGTCCTAAATTGGTTGCAAGTTTGCATACTCAAGTAGATATACCAGTGTAATATACGTAAAAACTAATTTGTATCTTAGAGAACCAATAGAAATTATTACAGTAGAAATAAAGCACAGTGTAGATGACTTTGAGGTTTCAATGTACTGGATACAATATGTGCTTTTATCTTATTATATCGAATTCATAACACATTTGTTACGTAATACATAACAGACAAACTTTAAATGTTGACACTTACTAATTACAACATATATAATAAAAGTTGATAAACTTACAGAAAAATTATTTGATACAAATGGATTTAAACTTCCAAATGTTTGTTTCAATAATTGATAAGATCGTCCAGGTTGATTACTCAACAATAAATCAATACCAAGATTTGATTGGTTCACCTTTGATTAGTAAAACCGAAAACAGTAAACGGATTTATACCATTATTACTGGTACCAATCATATTTGCACTATTAGTAGGAGTTGCATATGAAGTATCATTGGTAGTAGTAGTAGTCGTAGCAGAGTAGTAGTAGTAGTAGTAATAGTGGTAGTACTGGAAGCAGCAACAGTGGAATTACTACTGAATATGGTTGCCTGTGATTGCTGTTGAGACTGAGATTGAGTTTGTAGTGGAAGATTGGAAATAACATTATCTAGAGGAAATGAACTAAAAATTATAAATAGATTATAATGTGCATATTTCTTTGCAAAAGAATAAGTAAAATACACATTTTTCATCAGGCTACATACCAAAATGAAATTTATGCCAGAAAAAATTATCTGTTATAGATCAAAAAGAAATATTTAAATGCAGTCATTAGAGGAGGAAGATAGGTAGATCAACGTAGAATCCACCATAGATGTGCATAGGCTTAAATTACTCTGCTTAACAGCAGCATGAAAGAAAGGAGTATACTGAAAAAGTCCCATAAAGGTAAACAGAAATGTATATGCAGAGAGACAGAATAAAGTGATGAAGGTTAACGAAATCTTCAAAATTTTGAAGGTGATGAAGTGTGCATATTACATCTGCACCATTTTGATTGATTTTTAACGATGTCAACAAGAGTCCTCAATCATTGATTCCTGTCATTCCCATAACCCCAGCAGGATAATATATACCCTCCTACATGGCTCAGACTAACAGTCAAAGACTTCATGGACAGATATCATGTCTAGATCTGTATCGACGGCTACAAAGTGATTGATTACCTAATAACCTTAAAAACTTCCCTTGATTGGCTATTTGAAGGTAAAATGATTATAGATTACAATCAGCCAACTGTATTAAATTGTGTATTAAAGTATGGAGTTCAACTACTCAATCTAATGTACGTTTAGTTCTACACACATTACATTTACAACAATATTCATTATTGTGAATCGAATATACCCGAAAAGTTAAATTTAAAAATTTTGTGTTTTATAGTCAACACATCGACTTTGAGTTGAAAATTCATTATATTACAACATATCCAACACCAGATCAACCTCAAAAAATCATACCAATTCAATGTACAATTTTCAAAAGTTTAGAATATTAATTGTTATTGCATAATTTAGGGCAAACTATTCAAAATGTACAACTTTCCTATCATATTAAACAAACGCCAACTTTTAATCTTCATACTAAGATCTACTTCTTTTTAAAAATCAAGTACAAACTTTATGTGACTACAGTTTAAACACTGAACGTAATCGGCGGCAAAATATTCATATAACACTATGTTTCAATCCACAAATACCTTATCATTTTATAACTTCGACTGAATATTCCTGTAAAGGAATGATAGAAAACAGACAGAGAATATAAATTTATTTAAAAAGACTTCGTATTTATTGTAATTTAGTTGGTTGTGGCTAGCAGAGGAATCCAGGACCTGCGATTCGTCCTATTTTGGGGACTCGTCAGCTGAACGTACCTGCACTTCATTCAGTGATGTTGTTCTCATTGACGCTCGAACCTCGTATCCATCACTTCAAACGCCAAGGCCTCATCCACTATCCCACGGAGGAACGATAACCACTTCTTGTACAACGGGTAGTAGTTACTAATATTTATTGATATATACTTGTAATTCTCCGTTGTTTTATTGGATCGAATTGTTCGACCTCTATTGGCATATGACGATATTGAGGCCTCCGCATAGGAGTCCATATGCCAATGAGGTCAAACAATTTGATCCAATAAAACAACGGACAATTACAAGTACATCAATAAATAGTAAGATTTCGTGTTGGTTAAAAACTCAGTGGTAAAACAATCTAGAAAAAAATTCTGCTGTTCATAGAATTCAGAGTTTTGTCTTTCTCGAACTCAGTCAAAGACGTTATTGCCAAGGTATTCAGGTCACGATAAACTTCTAACAGGAATAATATGGATGTATCAATTACAACACGTTGACAAGCAGTGTGATGCTCTAGCTATCACCATCATAAGGAGCAGATGAAACTTTGGAATCTTATTAGTAAACTAGGTGATACCAACCAGCAAATGGGGTATTGGATTAGAAGTTGGTAAATATAAAACTACGTGACAAAACAGTCAATCTAAAAGAGTTCCTCGATGATAAGGTAAAGAAAATGCTTGAAAATAGTTAGGTTCGATGAATTCCGATTATCGAAAGAGATCAATCTGATCATAAGAAAAGACAAATGACAATCTCAGCGAAAAGAATTTTTTTCTTTCCGATGAAATCATTCTCTTTATCTGTACATTCATGAATACATAGTACAAAAGATATAACATTCCCGAGTAATTCCCTGTCAAAAGTCCATATGAATTGTATCACAAAGGAAAGTTACGTAATGTCTATATGTTTAAAATGCGGGGAAATGAACAAAATGATTACAAAATAAAAGTGGTTACGCTATATGGGAATCATCTAGACCGATCAATCTTCTACGATGACTATGGCCATAGCCGGAAATTAGTCTTAAATGTCCAATCCTTTCTACTATTTATTCACGAATGTACAGCTGAGAGAATGATTCTATCGAAAAGAAACATTCTTCTTCGCTGCAACTTTCTCCTAACCTATTCTTATTAGTTTATCTCAAATAAAATGATTAAAAATATAATTTACATATTTAGGGACTTACAGATCAGTAAACGGTTGCTTTAAAATTTGAGATGTGGCAAGAGGATTGGGAACATTGAGGTTTTGAAGCATAAGAGCTGCAAGAATCGCTTGAGTATTTTGACTATTTGTATTACCAATTTGATTGTGTTGCTGTAAAGCGACAGCTGTAGCAGCTGCAGCTAAGGTCTGTTGTTGTTGCTGCTGTTGGGCTTTAATAAGATTGGCTATGGCTGATGGCGATGTGGATGATGATGATGTTAAAGCTGCCATTGATGGTATTGCTGCGTTAGATGCAGGTGGTGAGGCCGATGAAAATACAGAAGTATTCTGACGAAAAAGTAAACTGTTCGCTGGTAAATTAGTCGAATGCATATTTGAAAAATGATTCAAGCCATTTATAGAATTATTCACAATTCCGGCACCTGAAATTGCAGCTGCGGCGGCAGCAGCTGAAATTGCAGCAGCAACAACATTACTACTAGTTCCTCCAGTTGTTCCACTGACTCGTGATTTCGAGACCATTGTGCCAGTACCAGGATTAATTACAGTATTTTGATTACCAAAATTGTGAACTAAAACGTTTATAAAACACCATGATAATCTATTTTGTTAAGACCGAAATTAATGTGAAATTGACGTTCAAGAAATTTAAAACAATTAGTTCCCTTTATAAACTTCAACAAAAACAATAAGAAGACTTTAATTGTCTGCACCGTGTAATGTATTTGCGCAACATATTTCGAACTATCTAATCACGCACGTACTTGTCATAGGTATTTGTTTTAAAAAAACTCATGAAGATAAAGGGTGAGAAGATAAAAAGAGGTCAGGTAGGAAGGCTGAATCAAAGGCCGAATAACAATGAAAATCAATAGAGCGAAAAAATAATCGTACATCGAACTTGGTTTTCAATAGTTGGATTTACCAAGGAAGATTTAATGTGACAACAAATTGTTTATGAACACACAAAGGTGGTTTCAACTTTCTATGGGAAGTATTTTTGGTCCCCTCCTAGCCGACATATTTATGTCACACGTGGAGAACTTAGCCGAGAACTTAATAGATCAAGCCCATCTGTATCGAAGATATATTGATGATATCCTGATCATTTGTGAAAACTCAAATCAGTCTACTTTAATTCTGAACGGACTGAACGAAGTACAGAACAGCATATCCTTGACATGTATAAGAGAAGAAGATGACTGCTTGCCGTTCCTGGATATATTAGTTAGTCGAAGGCAGGATGGATCTGTAAAATGATCTATTTACAGAAAACCTACATGGACAGGGCAATATCTGAATTACCATAGCTTTTGCCCAGTTCAGTACAAGCGAACGTTAGTAAGGTGATTATTCAGCAGAATTCAACGAGTATGCACAGAGGATACTTTAGAAGACGAAAGAGGAATATTGACTGATATTCTGTTGGAAAATAACTATCCATCAAAATTTATTAAGCAGAACAAAATTATCAGATCGCTAAAACTAGACTTTCAGTCTGACCCAAAGAAGGATGTCTTAATCAGCCTTCTGCAATCCTTAAGCAGAGACTTAACGCTGCTGTTAGAAGGACTTACTATGCAGCCAGGGTTCGAGTAATCAAAACCACGAAGTCTGTTTATTCTCCCAACCCCCCACAGCATGTGAACGATAATGTCACATCCCATTGAATCCACCAATTCAAATGTACGTGTGGTGACACATACATAGGAAGGACTAATGGGTCCATGAAAGTAAGGGCCTCGGGACATGTTCCAAAGTAGCAAATTAAATCACCTGAATCCATGAATGTTGGTAGCAGACGTCCAAGTTCTTCGATCGCCAAACATCGTTGAGATAGGCCACAGGATTGATATGGCTACTTCCTTTACACCTATTTACAAAACATGTTGGAGAAGGATCCTTAAATTTGTCAAAGCATAAGTTATTAATAAAGTTGAAACCACCTTTGTGTGTTCATAAACAATTTGTTGTCACATTAAATCTTCCTTGGTAAATCCAACTATTGAAAACCAAGTTCGATGTACGATTATTTTTTCGCTCTATTGATTTTCATTGTTATTCGGCCTTTGATTCAGCCTTCCTACCTGACCTCTTTTTATCTTCTCACCCTTTATCTTCATGAGTTTTTTTAAAACAAATACCTATGACAAGTACGTGCGTGATTAGATAGTTCGAAATATGTTGCGCAAATACATTACACGGTGCAGACAATTAAAGTCTTCTTATTGTTTTTGTTGAAGTTTAGGAAATTATTGTTTAGATGTTTCTTTATCTACTTAATTAGATTTTTCAGTAGCATAAAAGGTTATAGTTAATTATACATAAGCTAAACTCATACGGGTTTGCAAAATGCTTGCCCGTTCGTACGAAATGAAAGTTAATTCCTGGTACAAAGAGTGCTATTTCTCTTAGTTTTAACACTGTCTTCACATACTGATGATAAGAATCACATATACAGAATCCTTGAGTCAATAAGCAAATGGATTAAAACTGATATCTTATCGCTTATTCACGCACGTTACCTTACATAATGAAACATGGTTGAAATAGGTGAAGGAACTTACGTGAACTAAGCATGCTGTTTAAGGGCAGTAACAATCAGATTTTATCATACTTTTTATTCTCTGTTTCCTAGGTTCCTAGTAGGGCTTCAGTAGCACGTCACCACCTCACTCTCTTCTCTACAGTCTTTTCAGCCTGGATCCACGACTGCCCACAAGCTTTCATCTCTTCTTCACACCATCTACATGTCACCATCGCACGCTCAACTCGTCCTTTCCCATTTGGCTTCCACTGGACGGCCTGGTCTCACCTGACGCGTGATGTACCCAAACCGTCTTCTCAGTCTATGTCCAATACAATCCATCCCCACTTCTTTCTTCTGTATATTTATTGGGCGATAAGTTCTTGGTTGTTTGGTTCGTTGCCAGAGTTCCTCGTAGCTTATACTTTCTGACCATCTGATCTTCAGTATCGAGTGAGCGTAGGCGGCAGCTGTTCATGTATGTCTGGAGTTTGTTGGAAATGCTTTTCGTAACTCGACAAGTCTCTCAACCATCACATAGAAGCACTGACTTGACTGGCATTACAGTTGGAAATCCGCATCTTGTTCACGTTTTATACTGAGTGCAGTGCAGCGGAATGCAGTGCAGTAGATCTCCACACTGGCTTCAGATTAATAAAGGAAGGCCTGTCTTGCTGTCTTTCGGATCCTGGTGGGCTTTGACATCGTCATGTGAGCCTGTGCCGCCTGTGGTTGAGACGATGCTGCCTAGGTAGGTAAGTAGGTAGGTGAAAGAGACAACTTCGTTTACATTTCTCCTGTTGATGTTGATTGGTGCTTGTTAGTGTTCTAAGAAGTAAGAGTTGAAACATTTTTCATCCTAAGCAGTGCATTTCTGCAACGAAAATGTATATTGATAGAAAATATACCTTAGGATGAATGAACAGTTGAAACGATCTATTGATTCGTGGTGTTCCACTTACTAATTACAGTTTTCGATTATTTCATCTGGCCTCTTCGTTTACTAGCTTGATATTCAGCTTTAAAGTATGTCAACTTGCAGTGTTAGATGGTTGTGTGCAGTGTTAGTTGATTGGAAGTAATCGATAGGAAGCCCAAATTCAAGCATTACCTTACTCTTAGACATCATATATTATTCGTAAAAAGATAATAAACAATAATAAAGAGGAAAATCATCAGATCAGTTCATCGTTTCCTCTACTATAATTACCTTTACTCCCGTCAATCAGTGTTGCATCACTTCGTTTCTTTGTAAGAACCCGTGTCGTTGCATGGTTTACCTAGAAATGTATGCATTTTATCAATAATTATTTCAAAGGGAAAATAATTTTTTTCAATACTGAAATTCTTTTTAACCCAGTCTACAAAAAAAAGTAAATTGAAAGAACAAGTAGATATTTCACCAATAAGACATAGTCGCTTACGTTGATTGATATACGTCGAACTAATTGATAACAGGCAAAATTAATCATTACTATGAACAGTAAATTGTAGTAAAAGTACCACTACTACTATTACTGTCGAGTAATATGGGTAGAGTAGTATCATGTATAATTCATAAGATTTACAGCATGCTTTATAACCAAAAAGAATATTAAGTGTGCAATGAGAAGACGGATAAATGAATTCGTTGACAAAGGCAGTGAAACAAGCAATAATGCACAGATCAAAATATGATAAAGGAAATAGTAACAAAATGAACACAAATACAAATAAAAGTCAATCAATAATGAATATATGATTGTTCTATTTTTTTGGGAGGAAATATTTATCATTCCCTTTTCATATCATATCACTCTGATTTACTATCAGGCTGAAAAGTAATCTATTCATTAAATTAATGTTCACAAAGCCTAACTCTAATCGATTCAGATGGGGAAGGTTGGACTGAGTTCAACAACTAATACGATAGAAAACAAAAAAAAGAGGCAAATACCCATCTTTCAAATGAAGATCAGGCACAACACAATTGTGTAGCAGGACTACATAATCATCGGCCCTTAAAACCAGTGTCTACTACTTAGATATAAATGACAGTTAAATTTTCGCTTATGAAAGAAGGATACTGTCAAATATTTAGGCGACAATAATTGAAATATGTATGCTGAACACATGAACTGAGCAGAAATCATAATCTCTTACAAATAAGTTTCATTCATACTGTAATGAAGTTGAATCTTAGAATTGTAACCGTCTAGGTGGTAAATTCAACATTCACCTGCTCATAGTAGAGTTGGTTACATAGACTATACAAAATGTATTTTATCCGAAAGCATCTCCGAACCATATCCTGCATGACTATCTAAAAGAGAGTGCAAAGTAACTAAAAATTAGACTCTTCAGGATCTGATCACTTTTCTCCACTAGAATTTTCCTCAAGGGAATGCGGATTCGCCACTTGAACATAGTAGAAGCCTTAGCAATTCATCAGTTTAAGACTGATCTCTACGATCAAAAAAGGTTGGTTGAATCTCTAATTTTACTCATGTCATTTTATTTATTTATTATTTGTTTATCTATTGTAATCTTGTAAGGAATCTTTTGATGACCGTTCTGAGAACTTTTTATTGACCCCTTAATTATTGATGGACATATATCTTGTTATAAATACAATTATAATTGTAAAGATTTATCTCAAAAACTTTCTTCCTCTGAAATGTCTGCTGTCAATTCTTTATGATCTAATGTATCTATTTCAATGGTTCAAACAGTCAATGTTTTTGTAGTCAACTAACCAATGATAATATAAAACTTATCTCAGGACAGAAAATATCAATCAATTTATAAACTGTTTTCATGGAAGAAAACTAGACAGTCAGTTTAAAAGTTTTTCGTAGATATGCAACTCCTTTGGAAAGTGAATATAAAGATCTACTCTTCCATGTACGTTTTGTTTTAGAACTATATACAAATGCTACTGATCTGGTATCACTGATTGGTCAGGTTTTTGATAGAAGTAGTAAAATCAAATCTAGATAAGAATGGAGTCTCAATTAAATGTCTAACAGTAAAAAATTGACCCTCAGACCATCTTTTTCATTCAAGAAACACGTTGATAGGTTGGGGGGGGGGAAGCGAAGAAACCAACTAGCTTAAAATTCCAGCTAAAAACGCTAGCAACTAATAAAAATAGATGAACTAAGTCAAACAAGAAGGGTTAAAGATACAACTGACGACAATTATTATCCAAAAAATAATCTCCTGTCATATATTCCATCTACTCAATTAAGTTGGAGACATTTTTTCACAAACAAGTATAAGAAACACTATTATGAAATACAAAAAACAGATGATTATTTCAAGTATGATACAAACCAAGATCTAAACCATTCAATCCTTTTGACTTGTGATTCTACAATATTCAAGTCTGACAACATGTTGAACAAATAGGTTCGAATGCAACCCCATGAATATCATTTACCAATAAATTATAGTTTTTTGCTAGGATGAGGGGAATTTCATTTCTTCATATTATACCCCAGATATGGCAGTCAACTGGGTCTTTATCGGCTTTGAGAAGGCCCTGGACAGCGTCAACTGAGAAGTAATTTGGTGGGCAGCTGCTTCGACACTGCGGTTTCGGTGCCACAAACCTTCATCAACCTCATCCAACACCAGCTACATGCTATATGATGACGCTACATGCGAAGTTATTCATAATGGAAACCTCAGTGACACCTTGAAGTGAAGACAGGAGCAGGACTTATGATCTTCCTGATTGTAGTCGACTAGATCATGCAACAAACTGTGAGGAGTGAGAAGAGTGGTGTACGCTGGCTGGACCGATGAGAAGGCACTAGAAGAAGATTTGGATTTCGCCACCGATGATGACTGATATCTAATGTCTTGTAGGACAAACTCAGAGATCTAAAAGCGAAAACTACCAAGTTGGCAGAACAGGCAGGGCAGCGCAGACGGAACTCCCTTCAGGTGAACGTAGAGGAAACAAAGATGACGAAGATTTTGCAAACAACACTAACAACAACAACAAGAAGCACCTATCAACATCAACAGGAGAAATGTAAACGAAGTTGTCTCTTTCACCTACCTACTTACCTACCTAGGCAGCATCGTCTCAACCACAGGCGGCACAGGCTCACATGACGATGTCAAAGCCCACCAGGATCCGAAAGACAGCAAGACAGGCCTTCCTTTATTAATCTGAAGCCAGTGTGGAGATCTACTGCACTGCATTCCGCTGCACTGCACTCAGTATAAAACGTGAACAAGATGCGGATTTCCAACTGTAATGCCAGTCAAGTCAGTGCTTCTATGTGATGGTTGAGAGACTTGTCGAGTTACGAAAAGCATTTCCAACAAACTCCAGACATACATGAACAGCTGCCGCCTACGCTCACTCGATACTGAAGATCAGATGGTCAGAAAGTATAAGCTACGAGGAACTCTGGCAACGAACCAAACAACCAAGAACTTATCGCCCAATAAATATACAGAAGAAAGAAGTGGGGATGGATTGTATTGGACATAGACTGAGAAGACGGTTTGGGTACATCACGCGTCAGGTGAGACCAGGCCGTCCAGTGGAAGCCAAATGGGAAAGGACGAGTTGAGCGTGCGATGGTGACATGTAGATGGTGTGAAGAAGAGATGAAAGCTTGTGGGCAGTCGTGGATCCAGGCTGAAAAGACTGTAGAGAAGAGAGTGAGGTGGTGACGTGCTACTGAAGCCCTATGTTCCAGTAGGAACCCAAGAGACAAATAATAATGATAAAAATACCTCAGACGAAAAGCAAAAGGGCGTTCAACAGATCCTCATAAGAACTTGGCTCAATAGCATACACTGCTGCCATTTTCTACAGTTAATCATAAAATTTTAAGTAGGCATCCCCTTAACATTTCAATGTCTGCTAAATTGCTTATCTATGCAAGGCTGATATAAAAGTATGACAATGTTCATGAAGAAATAATATTCATAGGAAGATTTTAAAAAAACGATAAGTTAAGTTGTACACTTCCAGACCAAACAAGGTTTTATATATGTGTAGCTAGCATACCATGATACGTTCACTATTCAGATCATTTTGGAACAATCAATATTGATTGTAGTCATAATGTAGTGTAGTTTTCATATAAAAAAAAGGTATTTACTGTACATAACGGGTTAGTTTCATGTATTCTCCGATAACTGCTAAGTATGTTACACTAGTTTCATATTTTAATCCTTGACAAATGTATACATACAGAACAAGCATGGGGGTTACTTCCCCTTTATGATGGTATTCCAAGGTAATATTCATTGTGAACCAATATCAGTTGTAGAACCACTAAAAACGTGAGTGCACTGGACAGTTATTTCATCCTAGTAGCGGAAACCTTAGCACCGCATACCCATGACCTCTTCTAGCCAGAGACTGAGCTCAGGGCTATCAAATCTCACGGAAAGCACGTTAACCATTGCTGAGGTATCCTATGATAGGCCGAAACATCTGTCTAGTTCTTCCATTCCTACAAGTGAATATTTCATTAACACTAATCAATCCATATAAACCCCTAAGTTAAATGATATTTATTTCAAACATTTGGAAGTAACAGAAACCAAATAATTTTTTTATAAAAATAGGTTTCCATCACCGGCGAATGTTAATGGATATAGTCTTTAGAATGATTAGTAAGTCAATAACTGACAATCAAAATATCTTGAAACCTTCACCAAGTTTGGAAGGTAATTACTGAAATGGAAATATACTGAATGCAAAATGAACATCATTGTTTTTCAGTTGAGTTGTTGTTAAAACCTAAGAATGATTTGCTCAGAGTGAAATCTTGATGGTATGGAAGTAAACATCCTAGATATCAAGAGATATTGAGTATTAGAGTGCTTATAACACAGTGAATGTAACTGAATAGTGTTTACGTATTGTGGTTATTGTAATTGAGAGAGCAAACACAGTTATATATGTTAGGATCACATCAAGAGAATCAATGATGACGATGCAGAAAAACACCCATTTTAAAACATTCAGAGAAAAATTCAGTGCATGTTGTAATACAATATATCTTTTGAGATAGTAAAGATTTGTAGCTCAGAAGGAAAATGATAAGGGTTTGGTGTTATCTCAGCTTGAAGGGTTTGTTTTTAAACGTTTCGTCACGAGTTTAGGCGACTTCATCAGCGTTTATTTCATCCAGAAGTGAAGCATTTTCAAGTTGCATGATCTTGAGGGTTATTGGTTTGTGGGTATGGATGACGTTTTCTTCTTTTTTTTATCAGAGATTGATTCTGATAATTGTTGTTATCGTTTGACTTACGCAGTTAATTT